TGGAACTAAACCAGTTGCTTTGAAACCTTGAACAGCATTTTTTATTGTGGCAACCTTATTGTAAGCCACACTAAAAATCCCTGCCCCACCTTTAATTGTAATGACTTGACCTGGATGTTGCATTAAATAATCATTGCATGCCCGGCTATAAGCGGATTTAAAGGGTCCGTAAAAAGACACATCCAACGGTTGCATACAATGACTTGTATCAGGAGGAAAACCCAAAACATCAATAAAGTTTTTTCGACCTAAAGTTACTGATGGTAAAGTTACGTGCGACGAATGGTTGTCCATTAAAAGTAAAATAGGACTGTCCTTGGAAGGCCTTACATTTTTTAGAAAATGTTGTCAGCACAAAAGAATGGTGTCCGCGTTCATCCACCCTGATTCATTACATACGCTTGAAGATCCCGTAGGTGCACCATTTCAGAAATGCTGTTGCATTCTTACTCCCGGGAAAATAAAGAATGGAGGAATATATTGACCCGCAGCACTAAAACAACATGCCACACTGATATTTGTGCCCTTTTCAGCAGAAGACACTTTTATAACTCTACGTGTTCCAATTGGACTTAGCACGCTTGGAGTTTTAGTAGGCACAGTAGAACAGCCGGTCTCAACTATATTAAAAATTTGATGAGTAGCGTAATTTATTTTGGCCAACACTTCTTGATATAAAGTAAAAAGTGCTTCGACAGTTGTTCTATTAAAAGCTTGCAATCTCGCTGCGGAAGTAGCTACGGGTTTTCTTAATGAAAACCTAAATTTTTGCATAAAGTCTTGAATAGAGTCTTTTCCTGCCTTCTTAGTAATATTGTTAATGCGGTGAGAAATCCTAAGCGTTTCGGCATAATCATAGACAATTCATGCAAAGTGTTCTCGAGTTATGTCAAATTCTCTTTTATTTACGTCTTCTACATATTTCCTTAGATTTTCCATTTGCTCATTTGTAAATGTGCATCTAAATCTTCCGGTACTAACTGGCATATTCTAAAAATATTTTTTTACTTTTTAAAGTATACAAAAAAGATATCTAATATTGCATAAAAGCAATAACAACAATAATATAAACAATAACGTTATTAAATATTTAGTTACCTCCTCAGAATATTTCTTAGCGCAGCGTCGCAATGTAGCCTCTGGAAGTTCATATTTTTTTGCTGTGCTGACGCTCCACCCTTTACTTCTTCTATAACAGCGATCATCGCTTCCTTAGACCAACTTTGCCGATTCGTCTTTGGTTGATATATTTTTACCATGTTTAATATAATAATGCGTCATATATGTATTTCACGTACGTGGCGCTATCTAGAAAGAGTTTCCGAAAATAAACAATTCGTCATCTTAGCCAATACGTCATCTTACCCTCCTCTCCCCTACACACTTTCTACCCTAGAAATACTTATTTCTGAAGCATCCTGAATACGGATGTTTTTTTTATACTCCAACTACCACGAAGGCCTAAGGCCTAAGCACCCATTGGGTACCGTGGGGCTATAGGGGGATACATGGGAAAGGGGGGGGATGCCACACGGACTCTGGCGAGGGAACACGTGTGCATGCAACATGCACACATTCTGGCTCCGCCTACGAGAACCGCCGGGTGGTACCTCCGCGTTCGACAGTCAGAGACCATCTACCACCTACGGACAATCACAACATCCATAGCCAAGAGAAAAAGTTCTCCTGGGACGGGACTCGAACCCGCACAGCGCACGGCGACTGATCAGGAGACCGAAGAGTCTACTACTGCGGCCACCGCTGCTGCCTGTTCTATCTTTGTTAACGTGTGCACTTTTCTTCTGATTGTCTGGTATCGTATCTTCGTTTACTTACTTCAACTTATATATCGTAGATTTTCCAATCCCTGTCACATTTGAATATTTCTCCATAATGTCGTCAATACTTTTAGTAGCGTAGTCATATCTGAGTGCGTCAAATACATTGAAGAAAATAACTTTTTCATTTACGGATAAATCGCAATTCTTCATTCTCTTTGTCACTGTCACAATTTAAACGCTACTAAGATAACTAAGAATTTATATTAAGGTTATTATACCGAAATTAAATAGAATCACAAGTATTTACCTACCTAAGTCAGTACGAGACCTAGCTGTTAAATACACAAATAAATTATGTGACATCTGAAACTTCTGCGGTTTTGATGTCTATAATTTTCCATGTTTCTCATGCCAATGAAGCCACACATATTTAAAATTCTTCTTTAGGGTAGTAAGCGTTTCGGTTACAAAGGTGCCCTGTACTGGAGGTCACCAGGGTCAAATATCAGGGTCATTCAAGATCATACCTGAACGTAAAATTATTCGCTGCTTTCATTATCGGGGTCGAAAATAGGGATTTGTTTTTAAAATTTTGAAGCTTTTCCCCAAATGACCTTCAAGATCAGGGTGAAGATCGAACCCAAGGTAACCTTGTGATAGCTGAGTGAAAATCCTACAACTATTATTTAAAGCATTTCTCCTCAAAATCGAGCATTTGTGGTAGTTTGGCCTTGAGGTATAACTCAAGATTAAGGATGAGAGTCACTTAAAGTCATGTTTGAACGTAAAATTTTTCGGTCGTTTCATTATCGGAATCAAAAGTAAGGGTTCACATATAAAATTTGGACCTTCAAGATAAAAATCAACCAACAGTTGAGGCATAATCCTACAACTTATATCTGGAGCACTTTCCCCTAAAATGTGTTCCCAAAGAGTACCGTTCCGGTACTTTTGCCACACGCCACACACTGTAGGGGAGAGGAGGGTAAGATGACGTATCGGCTAAGATGACGAATTGTTTATTTTCGGAAACTCTTACTAGATAGCGCCACGTACGTGAAATATATGACGCATTAGATCACTTTTTACTCTCTAGTCTATGAAACCTGCATTCAGTCTTATGTGTGCGGTACGCTAATGACATTTATGTATTGTGTATATGTCGTTGTAAAAATCGTGGTCGACTAAATAAGATTTTGTGGTTGTGAATTAGGGATTTTTTCTTCGCAGTAAGTATTTTCATAAAGGTTTAATTCTTGTATGTGCAATGTCTATTAAGTTTTCTTAAAATACATGTGGGTTTTTGTTTATTGTTAAATTTATATAAAATGTTGGTGTCGGGTATGTTGACGAATCTTCCAAGCGGATAAGGTGACGAGTTCGTCATCTTACAAGATATCTGTAAATCAGTATTTGAAAATAGGGTTTAAGATTTATTTGCAGTAAACAACATGGTAAAAATATTTCAACGAAAGACGAATCGGCAAAGTTGGTCTAAGGAAGCGATGATAGCCGCTATAGAAGAAGTAAAGGGTGGATGGTCTGTAAATGGCACAGCAAAAAAATATAAGCTTCCAGAAGCTACATTGCGACGCTACGCTAAGAAATATTCTGAGGAGGTAACTAAATATTTAATAACTTTATTGTTTATATTATTGTTATTGTTTTTATGCAATAATAGATAACTTTTTTGTATGCTTAAACCAGTTAAAAATTATTTTTAGAATATGCCAGTTAGTGCCCGAAGATTTAGATGCACATTTACAAATGATCAAATGGAAAATCTAAGGCAATATGTAGAAGATGTAAATAAAAGAGCATTAGGCATAACTCGAGAACAGTTTGCAATAATTGTCTATGATTATGCCGAAACGCTTAGGATTTCTCACCGTTTAACAATATTACTAAGAAGACAGGGAAAGACTATTCAAGACTTAATGCAAAAATTTATGATTTAATTAAGAAAACCCCAAGCTACTTCCGCAGCGAGAATGCAAGCTTTTAATAGAACAAGTGTCGAAACATTTTTTATTTCATATCAAGAAGTGTTGGCCAAAACAAATAACGCTCCTCATCAAATCTTTAATATAGATGAGACCGGCTGTCCTACTGTGCCTACTAAAACTCCAAGCGTGCTAAGTCCAATTGGAACCCGTAGAGTCATAAAAGTGTCTTTTGCCGAAAAGGGCACAAATGTCAGTGTGGCATGTTTTAGTGCTGTGGGCCAATATATTCCTAGATTATTTATTTTCCTGAGACTAAGAATGCAACAGCATTTCTTAAATGTTGCACCTACGGGATCTTCAGGCGTATGTAATGAATCAGGGTGGATGAACGCGGACAACTTTTTTTTGTGGTTACAACATTATATAAAAAATGTAAGGCCTTCCAAGGACAATCCTATTTTACTTTTAATGGACAACCATTTGTCGCACGTAACTTTACCGGCAGTAACTTTATGTCGAAAAAACTATATTGATGTTTTGGGTTTTCCTCCTCATACAAGTCATCGTATGCAACCGTTGGATGTGTCTTTTTACGGACCCTTTAAAACCGCTTATAGCCGGGCATGCAATAATTATTTAATACAACATCCAAGTCAAGACATTACAATTAAAGATTTGGCAGGGACTTTTAGTGTGGATTACAATAAGGTTACCACAATAAAAAATGCTGTTCAAGGTTTTAAAGCAACTGGTTTAGTTCCACTAAATTCTCAAATTTTTGATGATTCTGACTATGAGCCTTCAATGACAACAGATAAACCATTCGAAGTGTCAAAGGATCTTAACAGAGAAAACCCCTCTTTTGACAATGATATGTCAATACAAACTACAGCTACTACTGGATTCAACCCAAGTGATACTGATGCTTCTTTAGTACTTGTCAACTCTGAAGTTATAGCAGGCCCATCTAAAAAAAGTTCACTCGAACCTACAGCTGGACCTTCTAAAACATTATTTGGCTTGCCTCAACTCTCTGCTGCTATTCTCACGACAAAAAAACCAAGAAAGAAATTGCCGTCATTGTACATAAGTAGTAAAAAATTAAAGAGGAGAAGAAAAAAGAAAATCAGAAAAGAAAAGCTGGAAATGCTAAGAAAATGCTAATAAATCGAAAAAGATGGCCACACAAAAGAAAAAACTGCAGAAACATGTTAGACAAATAAAGTTTGATAATGACAGTGTGTTTTCAGATTCCACCATATAAATAGATTACATGGAAAGTGATGATGACATCGATTACGTCGGAGATACAGAAGAAGTTTGTTTAATTTGCAGTGAATCAGGCAAAGATGAACTTTGGTATGCCTGCTCCTCTTGTAGTAAATGGGTGCATGCCGCCTGTAGTGGTCTTACAGCTTCAGAGGCAAAGCGTTAGGCATATGTTTGTGACTTTTGTCAAGTTTAATAAAAATATAATTAATTTTTAAAAATAGTTTTTTTTTCGTCATCTTACCCACCCAATATTGTCATCTTACCCGCCTACGAGGGCAAGATGACGAACTTGAGATCCAATTCTTAAGGTAAAGAATTAAATAGAAAATCTTAAAATATTTAAGTATTTGATAATTCTCTTTATTTCTTAATGTTTCAAGTTAATGTTAAAATTGAACACAAGATACTAAATTGAAATTGCATTGAGAAAAATGTATAATAGGCTCACTATCGTCATCTTACCCCCCTTTCCCTAATGTTGGTCAAGGTTGAGACAAAAGACTCGGCCAACTTTTTAGCTACATCGATAAAGCGGTTTTTGTGATACCGCCTGTTGTGTTTTCTAGCTATAATTGGCATTTGTTCATTAAAATACATTGTGAAGTGCTTTCACCTGTTCATTATGCCTAGAGTGAGAAGACGAGAAGTTTTCAATAGCTTAGCTAGTTTGATAAGGGGCGGTTAGTAGCCTTATGCGAAGCTGGTTGGGCCTTTAGAGATATAGCCACTATGGTCACACCAGTCGAAATACGGCGGTGGTCTGTTCTCGGGCATGGATTAGGAAGGTCGTAAATGAAGAGTGAGGTACAGGGCGTGGCTGAACAACCATTCCAGGGCCGCGGCTTTAGGCGCTTGGCTCTAAGAGACCGCTTCTCGTCCGCAAGGTCAATTGCAGACCAATGCCGTGGAAAGTATGGAAAGCCAATTACAATACGAATTGTTTATCGTCGGTTCAACAGTTTTGGACTTACCCCAAACCGTCCTTAGTTTGTTCGATCTCTCACTCTTAGGCACCGAAGTGACTGACTGACTTGTTGCAGAGAACAGCTGATCCGGGTTTTGGAATGAAGCATCATATTGTCTTTAGTCAATAAATCCTCATTCTGTTTGGGCATGCATGATGGTCGTGGCAAGACGATGAGGTGAAAGATAGGATTCTCAATTTTCTATTGAAACGCATGTGCACCACATGATATTGGGGGCTATTCACTGTGGAAGCAGGTCATCTTTAGTGTTCATCAGAGACAACACGACCGCCATGCGTTACAGCTAGGAGGTGAGGGAACCATGTTTTTTTCCCTGTGTACGGACACTTACGAGCCCCTTTACCAACATTTTGAAGACAATCAAGTTGATTTGTTACCTTGGCCCCTAGATCTCCCGATATTCTACGCATTGAACCCCATCTTCCATAGACTATAGAGGCACGAGTCACAAGTAGCCTGGGATAAAATACCCCAAGAGAAAATCGATCATCTGATTACGAGTATGGCCAGACATGGTTCTATGTATACAGGGTGTTTCAGTTTATTGTTGCATAACTTTAAGTCTCGATAGAACTTTTAAAATTAATGCATAAAGTCTATATAAACATGGGTCGAAAAATGCGTGGCTTCCGAAATACAGGGTGTTTAAATTTTTGATGTATAACAGTGAAAATTAATATACAAGGGTTTTTTGATACGACAAAACGAACCATGGGCATAGCTTTACTGTAGCCGCTAGAGGGCGCTCTCTACTGTACCTATAGTGTATTAAAATGACCGAAAATTTTTTCTTAGTGCAATTTTTTGCTTTTCGTATAAAAAAACTTATTCTTCGCACTTTTCTGTATAAAAAAGCTCTCCTGTGAGTTTTCGTTATAGTTAGCCGTTTTTGAGATATTTCGATTTTTAAGGTTCGATGCATTTTTAATTATTTATGAGAAAATAATATTTTTTTTACATTTTCGATTTGGGAATTACAAGTAATTAAGAAGCATGTTTAGATTGTGTTTTTAAACACCGCAATAATTCCTAACTCCAAATAAACACAAAAAAACAGGATATTAATTTGTTTAATGTTCCAATATTATTTTTAACAAATTAAATTAATTATTTACAACTAAAATGCTATTGGATAGTTAGGACAAACATACTAAATCTAAAGTAGTTGCTCGGAATGTAAACCCAATTGTTCAATACACAATTCACATCTACGATTGGTCGAACGTGGTATAGCATTATTCAAATAAGGCCTTATTTCATCACATGCATTCCTGATTCTGTCAATTAGCATATCTCTTGTGGTTACGGGAGTCTGGTACACTTTTTCTTTTAGAAATCCCCACACAAAGAAATCTAATGGATTTCGTCAGGGGATCGTGGAGGCCAGGCGACTGGCCCTCCACGGCCGATCCATCTTTCTGGATAATTTTCGTCCAGCCAGTTTCTAACTATTCTCGAATAATGAGCTGGACAACCATCAAGCTGGAACCAGGCCAATCTTCTTAAATCTAACATAACATCATCCCACATATTTGCATGTTCAGCCTTTAAAATTCCAAGAAGTTCGCAGCATTTAACCTTGCAGGCAAAAGGTAGGGTCCAAATAGTCGATTAGGGTAGATACCAATCCACACGTTCACACTAAATTCATGCTGAAAATTTCTTTCCCGAATTGCTTGCGGATTTTCATGCGACCAATGTTGATTATGAAAATTTACCACTCCACGTCTAGTGAAGCATGACTCATCGGTCCATAAAACGTTACTTAAAAACTCCCTATTATTATCAGTTCTATCAAGAATCCACTGACAAAATGCGATTCTTCGTTCTCCGTCCCCTGGCTGTAGTCCTTGCACAGAATTTGTAAATGGTAAGGACGTCTATGGTCATTTCTAAGAACACGGTGAACATGGCTTGCTAAAATTCCCAAGGCACCAGAAACTTTCCTAACACTTGTGGTCAGCCATACACAAAATGAATATCCGCTAACTCTTGATTGGAGAATGAAAATGGCATTTTTATAAAATAAAAAACAGGTAAAAGAAACTAAATTTCGTGCATTCACAATTGCAAAAAATCGTTTCAGGTTTCAACAGACAACAAAACTAACTGTCAACTAATTGACGTTTAACCTTATTCTGCTTTCAATTTCAAAAATATTTGCAGGCACAGCCTACTTCTAAAAATTATCGAGATACTGACTTTTTAACGTTATTTTATCATAAATAATTAAAAATGCATCGAACCTTAAAAATCGAATTATTTCAAAAACGGCTAACTATATGTATAACGAAAATTCACAAGAGAGCTTTTTTATGTTGAAAAGTGCGAAGAATCAGTTTTTTTTCAAAAAGCAAAAAATTGCATTAAGAAAAATGTTTCGGCCATTTTAATACACTACAGGTACAGTGGAGAGCGCCATCTAGTGGTTACAGTAAAACTATGCCCATGGTTCGTTTTGTCGTACCAAAAAACCCTTGTATACCAATTTTCACTGTTATACACCAAATATTGTTCGAAATATTTACAAAAAACTATTTTAGTAAGTAAATTTTAACACCCTGTATTTCGGAAGCCACGCATTTTTCGACCCATGTTTATATAGACTTTATGCATTAATTTTAAAAGTTCTATCGAATCTTAAAGTTATGCAACAATAAACTGAAACACCCTGTATAAGACATCGTGAAGGTCCAACAAGTTATGAAAGTCTTACATTGTTTTCAACGGTTTGCGACAGCAGTATTTCCCCTTAGAATACTAGTCCGATTGGGCTATGAATTTTTAGTAGTGCAAGAGCGAGACCAGGCAGCTCGACGCCGATTGGCCGATCCGTACGGTGCGATTAACAGATTCAGCACAAGTATGATGGTATTAAAGGAGGTAACTATCTTTACTTTCGGAGAAATGTATTGTGCCTGAGCCGATCCTAGTTTGGATTACGTTCTTCCAGCCGAGGGTTTAACCGTAACTGAGTCGGGCGGCGAGGACCGCCATTTCATGGAGAAAGTGCCAGTGCAGAGAGCTGGACTGTCACCCAAGCCCGTTTCGGCGTACAGCCTAAATTACATAATACTGCGAGGGCGGTACAGGGTTTTTTATACTCGAACTGCCACTAAGGCCTAAACACTCATTGGGTAACGTGAGACTATAGGGGGATACAGGGGAAAAGGGGGAGATGCCTCACGGAATCTAGCGAGGGAGTACGTTTGCAAGCAACCTGCACACATTCTAGCCCCGCTTTAGAGATCGTCCGGGTGGTACCTCCGCGTTTGACAGTCACGCGCAGCGTATGGCGACTGATTAGGAGACGTCTACCAGTACGCCATCGCCGCTGCCTTGGGTGCCGTAATTGCTGGAGGGTGCTGGCCACCCTCATCTCCTTTTCTGACTTCCAGAGCGGAACTGGAAGTAAGTTCCGGGTGTTATGTAGACAAGTAAAACATTTTTTCGATTTATCGGTGAAATTTTGCATTCGGTGGCAGCTTAGTTAGAGGATAATTCACGCTTCATTAAAAGGTAAAACTATTTTTGCGTTTTCTTACTTGAAGACGTAACCCTTGGATGAACGTGTGAAGGATCGCTTTCAGCACCCTTGGCCCGTTACAGGTTGGATTTTTCTGTAATTTTGATCAATCACTTACCTAATCCTGAGATCCATGTTGACAAACGTTTTTGTAATAAATTCGTTATTGCTGGGTGTTCTTTTCTCTATGTCACATAGTATATTTGCCTGCTGAAAAACGGGCTACGAATAGGATAGTCTTGGCTTATTAGTTAAGATATGAGTATACTGATTTGGGGTTGTAGGTACAAGGGAAAGGAATTCAAAACAGAACTAAGATCAAACGTACAAATACATTATCGAGTTGAGCGTCTTCTTGGAGAATAGGTTAATCAGTGAAGTTGTATGACCTGCCGCACGAACAGTGGTGTAGGTAGGATTGAATTTGACTCTAACAGTCGATCCTAAAAGTCGGCTGACAGCTGGTGCTGTGGCTAATTGGTTGGGTTGGCTCCACGGTATGGAGGAGATGGAGGTTCAAATTCCGCCCATTTTCCCTTCGCTCTAAAGTTGTTTACGAATCTGTTATGGATGCGCTGTCAAAAAAATCGCATTA